TACAATAAGACCTTACTTTATGTACTTGTTATATAAATAGCTATTACAGCCCTCTATCAAAAAAGTTTACAAAGATAAAATTGACTTTGTATTTTTCTGAAATTAAGTAAAGTATGTAGAGTCATTTTAGGATGATCATGGCACTCTAGTTTAAAAAATTAAATTAAATTTAAAAACAAAATTTGGACAAAACTCGATTCAAAAGTGGTGCATCAGGACGTAAAACGATCTGTAAAAGCTGAAAAACAAAAAATATACAGGGTGTGCCATTTAAATATCAAAAGCTCCGGTCATTTCCGGTGGAACCGGAAGTCAGGAAAACTTGTCGTAAATGCATAAAAATGGCGTTTGGTTAGAATATAAACCCTACCAAGTTTCGTTGATATTGATAATCAAATAAAAAAATGGCAGCCGGAAAGTGATCTCGTGGGCACCCGGTATTGTGCAATACTTAGGTATTGCAGAGTATTGTGAGAGTATTGTAAGCTATTGCCCAATGATTCTAGATATTGCGAACCATTGTGATTATTGTGAACTATTGCAAGTTATTGCAGTATATACATAGGTATTCCCTATTTCTTCAAACTTTTATATTTTTCTTTTATATTATTTAAATTTTTATAATGTAAATCAAATGGATCATCAATTTCATCTTTTTTTTAGGCCATCTAAACTGGCATACGTTCAATTTTGGAAACTTCACTTTTCTTTTCTTGTTGTCTGTATGCAGTACTTTTGCGATGTACCACGCAGTATCATAACATAATGCGACTTGAAGTTAATCTATCAGCAAAGATTGCAAACGAAATAACTCCAATATTTAAAAATATCAGAATAAAATCCCATGACAATTTGAACAGGTTCAAAAACAACCTGAAACTGGAAACCTGGGAAAATATTCATATGCCAGAACTGGAAACCGCATTTGATAATTTTCTACAAACACTCCAATGGCATTACGATACCACATGCCCCGTAAAAAGAATTAATATAAATAATAAAAAAGACAAAAAAACGCACTGGATCACTGAAGAACTAAAGAATCAAAAGCAAGAGTTAAAGCAACTTTATAATCTAACAAGGGAAACGAACTCTAGGGCAGGTCAGGAAGACTACAATAAAGAGAGAAAAAAGTATAGGCAAAATATTAGACAGGCGAAAATAAATTTTAATGAGCAAAAGATTATAGAGTCATCTAACAAAACAAAAGAAATATGGAACATTATAAATGATGAGTTGGGCAGAGTTAAGCATTCCAAAAAAATCGACCTCAAAATCGATGGTACCCTAATCAAAAATGATAAAGAAATCTCAAACCACTTTGGTAGATTTTTTTCGAATGTTGCGGAAATAAAAATATCAAGCCATTTCGGTGCCACTGTTTCGAATCTTCCAACCACCTCGCATCTGGTCGAAAACACCATCTTCCTCCATCCAGTGACTCCAACAGAAATTGCCGACATCATCATAGGTCTCAAAAACAAAACAAGTTATGGCCCTGATGGAATAAATACCAGTGTGGTAAAGAGGGTCTGTCCTGAGTTGTCTCACCCCTTAGAAGTACTAGTGAATAAATCAATCTCTGAGGGAGTATTTCCATCCAGCTTAAAACTAGCTACTGTAGTTCCTGTTTTCAAAAAAGGCCTGCCAACGGATATCGAAAACTATCGACCGATATCCATATTATCCGTATTTTCAAAAATATTTGAAAAGGTACTACACAGTAGAATAACCCACTTCTTAGAAAGATTTGAAATCTTGGATGCATCACAACATGGATTTAGATCTGGAAGATCGACGGAAACTGCTGCGTACGAGTTTATTGAGTACATCCACGCACAACTGGAACAAAACAGAATGGTAATTGGATTGTTTTTTGACCTTTCCAGAGCATTTGACTCTCTCGACTTAGCTTTTCTCAGGTTAAAATTGGAATCCATTGGAATTCGAGGTAAAGCACTCTCTTTAATAATGTCCTTCCTATCAGACCGAAAAATACAGGTGAAACTACCTGGCCTTACAATTAAGTTTGCGGATGATACAACTGCAGCTATATCGGCTGATAACGAAAAAGAAGCGATGAAGAAGTTGGATGAAATTTGTGACCATATGAGTTCCTGGTGTTTTAGTAATAAGCTTATTCTCAACAACTCAAAAACAGTAACCATACATTTTTATAACTCCAAACCGAAAATTGAGCTCAAGGAAACCGAAGAAGCTGTAAAATTTCTAGGAACTTATCTTGACAAACAACTTCAATGGCACACTAAAGTGGATCATGTATGCTCCAAACTCAATTCCGCCTATTTTGCCCTACTCAAGCTTAGACAAGTCGTCGAAAGACACGCGCTATTGTCAGCTTACTATGCCCTAGCCTACCATCACATGTCTTATAATATCATTCTATGGGGACAAGCTGTTGGCGTGGGTAGAGTATTCATCATCCAAAAGCGGATAGTAAGGTTAATATATGGCCTTAAACCACAGGAAAGCTGCAGTCCAACCTTCAAGGACCAAAAACTACTTACTCTTCCGTCCATCTATATATATAAGTGTGCGATATATGTATATAAAAACAAAGATAGATTTATAAAAAATGGAGAAAATCATCTATATTCTACCAGGAAAAGCAACGAACTCAGCCTTCTACGACATAGCACTGCTTTATTTGAGAAGTCTCCTCAATATGCATGTATAAAGGTCTACAATAGACTACCAGGAGAAATAAAGACTGAACAGACTGAAAAAAGATTCAAAGTTAAATTGAAGCAATTTCTCTGCGAAAATTGATTCTATTCCTTTAGTGACTTTATGAATAAAAATGCAAATGGGAATGTTTAATACTATGTCTCTCTACGTCAACGCGATTTAGTTGCTCTATGTTATATAATAATTGTTGTGACTGTTTATATACTAAGTTTATTGAAATACTTGATGTTATTATTGTTAATTTTTTATTATTAAGTGCTATTATTTTTTTATTATTACTATATTTTTTACTATTATCATGATTCAATATTGTGACAAAGCCACATTTACATTGTAAATCTAAGGAGAATAAAATGAAATTAAAAAAAAATAAAAAATATACTGCATAGTAATATTTAGGTCGAATATATATTCTTCCTCCAAGTCTCCCTCCTTCATCATGTATTACTCCTACATTATGAAACTTTCATTTTCGAATTCATTTCCACTTGTGTGAATATCAGAGTTGTCTGTTTTTTCAGCAAAAAAACAACATTGAGGTAACTTTTTTACTGTCTTTGAGTTTCTGCTTTTTAAATGTATTTTAAAAAAACCTTCCATTGTTCATATCTGTTACCTAAGCATTGAAATCTTTAACATTAAGTTTTTTTTTGCATCACCCTGTAAGAAGATATCGTCCGATATCGCTCTAAGTGGACACCCTGTATATTCCCTTATTTCAATAGAAAACTACATTGCGAGTACAATGAGTAATGACACCTCTTTTGTCACTTTTTGACATTTCATCTCCAAATTATTTAAATGTTTACTTTTTAATCTAGAGTGCCATGAATTATTTAAAATGTTTAATTCTGCTCCAAGGAACCTGGGAAAATTTGTTTTGATCTCATTTTTTATTTTATATCAACAGACTCATTTAAAGATAGTAGAAGCGCATTTTTGGAATTGTATCAATTTTTTCAAATGGAAAAGGTATGGCTCATTAGCATATTCCGAGAGAGCATTTTCTTACAAACAAATTAGTACCACACAATCGCTGGTTTATTCAAAATTTTCCGAAAATATTTGGAATGCTAGGAAAATTCTTCATTTGAGTGATGAACTCGCGATTGTGTGGTACTGAATTGCTCGTTCGATTTTTGATTTGAAGATTAAATGTCAAAAAGTGACAAATGAGGTGTCATTGTACTTGTAATGTAGTTTTCTATCAAAATGAGGAAAAATATACTTGGCTTCTCATTTAAAATAAGAAAGTTCTGGTCACTTCTGGTGAAACCGGAAGTGATAATAAAAAATTGAATACATCAAATAATGCACATCCGGGTCATAAATAAACACACCAAATTTTATTTGTTTATTTGGAAAAATAAAAAAGTTATAGGGGTGAGCGGGTTTTGAAAAACACCCGGTATATGTGTATTTGAAATGAGAAAAATAAGGGCGTTTAAAAAATAGCTTTAAATATACTTAGGTGATTCGATTTTAAAAAATTACTTTTTTTGTCACAGAGCTATAACGAAAAATCCTCGGAAAAATCTAATTAAATTTCAAAAAACCTTTTCAAATTCCTAGAAACAAATGGCTATCTTGATTTTTTCAAAAATAGGTTTTTGAGTGGAAAGGAAAGGGGTGTTCACTTTATACTGGATTACCCTAGTTATTTTTTATTGGACCAAAACTGAGGTGAAAGTGGTAAAATTGAATGAAACATGCAGAGGTGGCACAAAAAGTTACATAGATCCCCAAAATTTCAATTATATTGGATGGTGCCTTCCGAAGATACCGCCTGGATTAAATGTGTTGGGACACCCTGTATAGGAACAATATACAGCGTGTTCCACCACTTCAATCGATGTTGGGGTTGGCCTATTATTAAAAAGTAATAGAGAACTGAAAAAGAAACGTTTTTCAATTTTGGTATAGGTACCTCGATTTTACCCAAAAGCCTACAACTTCAGATTGTTTGCTAATTTTTAATTTTGAGGTGAGATCTTATAGATATTTGAAGCAGGTAAGGTCCGTTTCACCAGGGTTCATACTTGACCTTGAAACTTGAAAAAAAAGGGTTGTCGTAGATTAATTCATATGACACATTCAATTTTTTGACAAATTAAAATGAATGACTTCTGGTTTAAGAACCGACGAACCTTTTTGACGTCATTGATTTGTTTCAGTTAATTTTTATTTGTTAAACAAGGAAGGCAAATGCTGGTGGCAAGTACAAACCCTGGCGAAACAAACTTTAGGTAGTAGGTACAAATAATCAAAAATCAATAATAATTAATGCTTACCAAAGTTTTGGTTTCTTTTTTGGTATTTTATTTTTACTATCTTCAATTTTCCTCTTGGACGTACTACAAGAAGCTTCCAACCCTTGTAATACTGCATCCTCTACTTTTTCTGGCAACACTGACCTTTCTTTGTCATACTCTTCATCTTTGAACTCGTGCTTAGGTTGCTCTAATAATTTCTCCAATTTTTTTTTTTTCTTCTCTTTAGCTTCTTTTTCTCTGTCAGCTTGTTGAGCGACCCATTTCTTTAACCTTTGCTCTTCATTAATGTCCCTTAATCTTCTACCACTCAAATCTCTACAGGCTTCTCTATTAGTAGTTTTCTCAATCTGCGCCCCGATAGCCCGTAACATAGAACCAAATCCCCCTTTTCCTCCCAAGATCCTTGGAACAATATGGACTGTCTCAGACACATGTCCAGTGGTAACCCTGCGTCCATTTGATAGCAGGTAGAATTGTTTTGATGAAAGACCCTAGAGTAAAAAAAAACTTGTAAGTTCATTTTTCAATTATTTTATTTCGATAGGGGTTTACCAATGAGTAAGAAGGTTTGGAATGGCCCCTCTCCTATCTTCCCAATACGTATATTTGCAGTGAAGATTAGAGTGAGAGAACGGGAGAGATCTTTGAGATTTTTTGCCCTTACTAACTCATTCTGAAATCTGGAAACATTTGAGTTACGCAAAGCGAGGCTGTGGCAAAGCCCGTTCAAAATTCCAAACCTTTTCACTTCATTTGGGTTTTCCCAATACCTTACTTAAGTGAAATAAATGGATGAAGTAGATAACGGGATTTCTGTAGTATTTACTTACCAAATCTTGATTTATTGTAGACCCAAGTTCGTCAACAGTTAAAGGATTATTGTATTTATAAATTAGAATCTTTCCAAAAAATACCTCCATAATGATAGCTTACCACGTATTTTCTTCTGTATCTGTTCAAATTAAAGATATAGTATAACGTTGGATTTTTTGTACTGTATTTTCCAGTATAAAACAAAATATTAGAAACCAGATTCAAACTTTAAAAAACACAAATGATAAACTGAAAAAGTGGTAATAATTGGTATTGGGAACTGACTGGGAAGATCCCTGGTACAACACAACAAAAACAAAACAAACCCAACAAATCAACAGTCAGGACTGTCAAGTGTCAGAGTGTCAGGCAAGCAAGGCACTAGGAGTGCGTTCACAGTCAAACACCGGACGCTCACCGAGTGCACACCGAGCGCGTCTTTTGCAGGGTTAAGCAGGGATGTGCGTCTACACGTAGACTTTCATTGTCTACTTTACGTGTAGACAATGTAGACAACGTGTCAACGATGTAAAATAATATAAATGACGTTTAATTCTAACCTCACACTTTCCTTTTCTTAATTTATTTTTATTTTTTTATTGGTTTTTCTGATATTTTATAATCAGTGAATGCTTGTATCGAAGTGATAGTGATATTATAGTAACTTTTGATATTTTTTTTCGAATTTTTTAACATAAGTTATTGTTTACGCCGCATGTAGACAATGTGTAGACCAATGAACTAAACAATTCGAATTGTCTACGCGTAGACAATCAATTGTTTACGTTGACATTGTCTACAGGCACATCACTGGGGTTAAGTCGTTCACGGATCTACTTAATTCACCCGGTTAAAATATTTGCTCCGTTCACAGAGCCATGATAAGTTTACCTGGTTGTACAACTTTTTAACCCACTCTGAGACATCGGTAAAATTTGTCGCGCAGGCGTTTTACAAGCATATATTTGAAATTTTATAAACAATACTGTTGGTAATCTTTCTGGGCCATACATTGCTGACTTCAACTGGTTTTCAAGTTTTCCAGGAAGCCAGTTGAAAGCCTCTCTGGAAACTCTAAAATTTTCCTGGAACTCCTTATCGCTATAATTGCGTATTATTGCCATAAAATTATCCTGTCTTCCAATATGCCTTTTTGCAGGCTTGAACTTAAACTGCTAGCGCTAGCACATGCAGCTTGTGCAACAGCATAGCTGACTTCTTCCTCTGTATCAGGCGAATCCGAAGAAGTTTCAATAGTACTTTAAAAAAATACTATTCCCGGATCCATCTCGAAACATTCGAAACACAACGTATGTAAACAAAAGGAAAACAAAATCAAATCCTACCTCCGTTATGGCGCAGGCGTTAGTCGTTCACGGATTTGTCATCCCAAGCGCATCCTTTTCAACCAGTGAAATATTTAACCTCGTTAAGTTTTACCCAGGGTAAACCACTGTGAACGCGCCCTAAGAGGTGGAGAACTATCGATAGTCCCGACACAGCCTCCTACATTTAACAAGCCATGAAGTTAAAAAGGCAACACCGCAATCTTACCGCCAAGTGGTGCTGGTGGTGTTTGTATAAATATATATTTTTTATTTTATTAATATGAATCACAAAAAATGCATAATTTATTGTACTAAAGGGCCAAAAACAGTAATTCAATGAATAATTTAACTATTTGTGTAAATAAGAACAGTAAATAATTGATTTAAATGAATATATTTCTAGAGTCTAAAGTGTTATGTTTCAGTATGTCTTTTGAAAATCTAACTTTTTCTTTCTTCGGAATTTTTTCGGAAGGCAAGTCCATTCAAATACTTGAGCTGATTTTCGAAAATAAGAGGTACCTGGTACCTACTTTTAAGAGTTGGACGTTTTAGTTTGAACTCTCGAACTACGCCTTTATCCTTGTTTGTTTCAAATCTAATTATTTCGGTTTCTTCAAAATGCTTACAACACACCACAGAATTTTTCGTTATTGTATAATCTCGGGTATAATTATCTTGGTGTATTCCTTTCATCCAGATTTTTTGCACTTCAGAATTTTTTTGGAAATAAAAATGTTTGCATTTCTTCAGTTTTTAAGGAACTCCTAATAGGGTGACTGCGCTGGTTTGCCGACCACTACTAGTTCTCGACCACATTCACCTTTAATCAGGAATAAATAGTAAATATGCACTCGTTCTTGTCCAATAAATGCTGAAATGGCTGCCAGACAGTTTTCCCAATCTAAAATACCATTGAGATTTAATAGGCGATAAACGGTTTCGCCTTCAAAATTCATTTGAATAGTCGCTGTCAAGGGGGTTGTTGTTTACGCATTATATCTATAAAAAGTGTATGTGTGTTTGATGTAGAAAATAGTAAGTATTGTTCTTCTTGAATGTAAGACCTTTCACCAATTGATTTTATGTTATAGTAGGTTAATTTTTCTATCGAATTTACGAATAAAATATAGTGTGAAACAATTTTTTACATAAAATTTTTGTTGGTCGGGAACTAATATACAAAATATATCAGAATTTAGTTTACGACCGGGGTGGTCGAGAACTGAGTTTCAAGTCGTCCATTTTCAATTCATATAATAATATTTAGAAAAGTCGCGATGACTTTCTGTTTTTAATTGTTAGTTGAATATTGAATATAATTTTTATTTTTTAGTTTACGACCACCACTTTTCATTTAAATATTGCGAAGAAAATTGGATATAGATTTTGCAAAAATATGTGGTCGAGAAACTAGCTTATTATAGTCCATTTCTCGTCCACTGTAGTTTCAAGTGGTCGAACATCTAAATATGGATCTGATTTTCGACCAGCATGTTTTTCTAATGAGAAACTCTGGACGCCGAACCAACATGATTTTATTTAAATAATTTCTTCTCATCTAGTTTTCGTCCACATAATTTTTTTTTTAACTTCACTTAAAGTCCGTTTTTTTTTTAAAGATAATTCCCCAAGTCAAAAATTTTGTAACTATGTTGGCAACAGAAGCCTTTTCTACATACAAAATTTGAAAGCATTGCCAATTTTACATTGTATTGCCAACATAATGTCATTATGACTTTTGTCTTAAAAAAAAAAAAAAAACTTTACCTAAAGGAGAGAAAACCCCTAGTGCAATTGCTTCTGAAAAATGGAGAGAATACTATAATAAAAAGAAAGACGAAATCCATAAAAAAAAACAAGTATAGGTAGCCCGAAGAAAAGAAAAATGGAAAATGACAAAAGAAAATAATTCAAAAAAAAAGTTCAGAAAACTCTCAAAAAGAAAAAAATAAAAAATACTCAAAAACTCACCTCATCCAAATCTAAAGTATCCTCTTCATTATGCCAAGAAGATCTTTAAAGTGACACAGAGGATGAAGATAAGAAAAACATCGGCTGTGACTTTTGTGAAAAATGCTTTCACAAAAAGTGTACCTACCGAATTTGTTGATACTCCCTAATCCCTATGTGATTGTCGCCGTTCAAAGATTAGGTATAAATGTAGTCAATGCTAATTTAATTTCATCAAATCTAAACATTTCATATTTTTCGTTAATTTAAAATAGGGGTAGATAGGTAGATACTTAGCCTATTGAAACTTTTTAGTTTTAGCAGTTCCATATTTTTAAATATTCTAATTTTAGTTTTAATAAGAACTGCCCTTTTGTAATAGATTTTTATTTATTTATTTTTATATTTTGAGTTGTTTTGTTTTCATTTTTTTTTTTAATGTTTTATGTCCTTGTCTTTATGGGTACTAGGTATAGTACCTAATTAAAAGAGAATTTATTATTGTTTTTTTAATCCTATAAGTTTTTTCATAGGTAATAATCCGTTTATTCTCGTTTAAACTTATGTTCCTATTTTTTTTTTTTATAAGAAACTGCCTTTTAGAAAATAAACTTTGATTTCATACTACTGCTATTTTTTTTTTACTACCTAGGTAGGATTTATTATAGCTTTCTATGCTTATTAAAAGGTGGTCGAAAACCAACCCAAAAATGGTCGGAAATTGCGACCAGTGGTCGAGAACTAGCTAAATGGCACTTTTTTCATATTTTTACTAAAATTACACATTTCATCGAACAAAAATTAAAAAAATATATAAAATTTGAATTCGCAAATCTTCAGACTTTTAGAAAATCTTAGTCTTATTAATATATTTTAACTAGACATATTTTTATCGTGTTTTGAAGTGGAAGTTTCAGTTAACTGGTCGAAAACCAGCACACTGACCCTAGTTCGATTTGCACCCAGGAACACAGTAGTTTCATGGCATCTGGAACAAGTTTGAATATCAGGTAATATATCGAGACCTATGCTCTTGCAGAGAAATATTAATATTGTTTTTATTGTTTTACCTTACCTTACCTTCATTTTTGCTCCTGTACTCATTTCCTAAAAATTAGCAATCAAAGCACAAAGGAACAGGTATCAACTAAATATGGGCAATATATTGGTGTGTTTCTATCCACTTTTTCATCAATACTGCCCATAAAAATACTAAATTGCAACAATACACAATGAAAGCAATACACAGAAACACATAACCCAATAACAAAATAGCACTATACGCGACGTTGCCGTCATTTCCAACTTCATGGCTTGTTAACTATAGGAGGCAATGGTCCCGACCATCGATATTTATCGATAGTCGGGACCTTGACTATCGATTAATATCGATAGTAATTAGTTACAAGTTATAAGGAAATATTAAAGATATCTGTACGTCATATATGGTCATATGAATGTAAATTACATTAGTTAGCAAAGGATAGATGGATAGACAAAAACCTAATTTTCTTTTTGATGTACTAAAAATATGATTCTAGGAAATAGTTTAATGACCTTTAAACATCAACATCTATCATTTGCGGAGAACTTATTTTTTTCGGAAAATGGAAATATCCTATTCTGAAAGCCTAGAATTTTTGTATAAAAATCATTATCATTATCGATTATTTCAACATTCTTCAAGAACTTTTGTCAGAAATAATAGCACCACGCACCACAGTAATGAAAGTCTTTTTAGATTGCTTTTTATAAGAAATTTCCATTTTTAAAATCAGCTCTTCTACATTTAAAATCGACAAAAAATTAACTCAAAAGCACAGCTTGAATTGCAAGCATCCCATCGAGGCCTGCGGGTGACATCACCACTATAAGGTACTGATAATTGTGACGTCACTCGCAGGCCTTGCCGACTCAAGAACTGGCAAACTTACGTCTTATGAGGATGAGCAATCCTAGTTCTAGTTGTATTCCTTTCAAGAGTTTCAAGCACTCGAGCTACTCGCCCCGGTGTTAGTCGCCCCCGATTTGCAAGGA